CCAGGCCCAGGCAGGACGGTGCGCAGTCCTGCTCTGACCCTCCTCGTGCTCTAGACGCACCCACTCCTCACGGAGCAACAGCCACGTGAGAGCAAAGTCCTTTATGGAGCCACCGTGCCGATGCCGGGCCTGGCTGAGGCCATCAGGACGGTGCAGAGGGAACCACAGAGAGGGCTGCCTTCCGCTGTCCAGCGTGGGAGGAGGGAGGCTTGCCCCACCCCCCGCCCCACTCACACACCGTCCTGCTCAGGAGGGTGGACGGCAAGTGGGCATGGGGCCTGTCTACACGGCTGACCTGAGCGTCACGCAAGGCTCTGCGTGAGCCAGTCTCCTGCAGGGCAAGGAGGCTGAGTTGCACCAAACCTTCCCCTCCCAGAGGCACCAGAACCAGGCATCATGTCCCAGCCGGACGACTCACGCCAGCGCGGAGGGTGTGCCCAGCTGAGCTTGTTCTCTTCGGCCCCACGTGGGAGGGCCCCCAGCCCTCCACTGCCTCACCATCCCCCGGGCACCTGAAGGCTTCGGGCTGCTGGACCACCCCACACCACTGGGTCTTGATCTGCAGGGTGTGGGCACAAGAACCGTTGGGCTGTTTTTTTAAGCCCTGGGCGACCTTGGAGCAGCGGGCATCCACCCAGGGCTCACGATCGTTCAGGAAGGGTGTGAACGTCGGCTCCAAGGATGCTCATAACAAATGCTGAGCACAGGTGTCTATGAAACAGGCTTGACAGTGACGGCCGAAGTCTGACACCAAGTCACCTGGGCACGGAAGCCCCCTGGCAGGGCCCCCAGTGTCACTTAGGCTAACAGCAGTGATGGGGGGCTCCGACTTCCTCTTCCACATGGATCCAACCAGGCAAAGCTAGGAACTATCGAGAATAATGTCGTGTGGGGGTGGAGGGCCTCTCGGGGCCCCCTTGGTGCTCTGTTCTGCCAAGGAGCAAGGAAGCCACCGGAGTTCAGAGGATCAACCAGAGGTGAAGGACAGAGAAAGGCACTGCTTGGGACATCGGGGCTTGATGTGTCCTTTCTGAGAAGAGTTTCAGCAGGTCAGGCAAAGGGAGAGCCAGCCAGACAGCAACGGTGGGAGCGCCGATGAGCAGGCTGGTGGCAGGGAGGCTGAGTGAGGCCCTGGTGGCAACAGTGGGCACAGCGGAGGTTGTCCTCCCCTGGCCCTTGGCTGCCAGAACCGCTCCCTGACGTCACCAGGGCCTTCACCCTTTTGTCCTGCATGTCATATGTCACTGCAGGGCGGGACGAAGAAACTGTAACTACAAGAGCAGGGGCCTGAAATCAGCTCAGCGCCGGAATTCTCCATCTGCCGCTTTCCGGCCGGGTGACCTTGGCTGGGCCCGCGGCCTCTCAGAGCTGTGGTTTCTTCTGCCGCAGCGATGACAAGACCTGCCTTTCTGGGGGGCCGCAGCTGCTGGGAGAGCTAATCTGCACCCCTGACACAGGCGGCGCCCTTGCCAACACGATGGGTGTTGCTGCTGTCTTTTCCATCCTCATCCTAGCCTCCAGCCGCCCCCCGCCCTGCTCCGCACAAAGGGCCAACTCACAGTGTGGCGGACATCGCAGCCGGCCTGGAGACACGGTTCTGCGTTAGCCCACGCCGAAGTCTCGGTCACCAGATAGACGGGGACACCGGCCGCAGGCCAGAGAGCCAACTGCGTGAGCGTCCGAGAGACAGAAGCGCCCCGCCGTTTCCCGGGAAGGAGAGGGAGCTCGGGGTCTACGTTCTGCACAGAACTGCTCTGTGTTCTGTGGGGCAGCACAGTCGTAACCTTCAGGCGTCTAGTGTCTACCACAAAAAAAAAAGCCTTGTCACTTCTGTGTGGGTTGACCTCTAACTTTTCAAGGCTACTGGGCCCCAGTGGGTTGTAGGTGGTAGTCGGCTGCCTCCCCCGGGAGAGGTCGGGTGCCAGTCAGGCAGGTCGATGGGGAACCCCTCTAACATTCCCACGGCCACCGTCCGCCTGTGCCTGAGGGTCCTGCCCTGTGCTTTCTCCTCTCATCTCCGATGTGTGAAGGCAGGCGTCTCCACGAGGTCTGTCCTCAGCAACCTTGCCCCGCGAGTGCTCCAGCAAGGACCCCCAAGGCTTCACCAAGCCCACCCCCACCCCAGGGCTCGTTCCCACCCAGGAGTGGCAGCTGGGACTCCTTAGGCCAGGACAGTCGGGAACGGGACCTGCCTTCTTCCCCCGAGGCAGGAAGTGTGCTCTGCTGCTGAGAAGTGGCATTTGAAAAGCAGGTCTGAAAAGGAAAATGGTCTGTCTGTCTGGTCTGTGAGTGTCCCCATAACGCAGACCCCTGTTATAGGGTCACAGGCTCTTGGACCTTTAACAGAAGAGCTGGAACCTACGGTCACTGAGAGGAAGTCGTTTGTCCCCAAGGGTAAGCGCTGCCGCAGCCTGAACGAACTGGAAGACAAGCATGGCAGATGGCAGATGGCAGAGACTCTCCTCCTCACAGCGTCCTCCTGGGGCTCGTGGCCACAGTGGCCCGCACGTTGTCCCAAGTGACAGGAAGTTCTGGGGCACTTGCAGGTGCTTCTTAGCTGTCACAGTGGCCACTTTGTTTGAACAGAGCAGCCACTGGTCACGTGAGACCCCTGCCCCATAAGGAGCGTCTCCTTTGCAAATAGGGCAGCTACTTAACAGAAAGAATTTGGGTTCAGCCCCTCGCCTGCCCCTGCTGGGTATCAGGATCCTCCTATTCCAGATGACTGCCAGATCAGTGCCTTCATGGGTGTCATTCCTTCACTCCACTGACATGCACGGGTGCCCTCTAGGTGCCAGACGCCAAAGACGCGAGTGACACGGACCTGCTCTTGGCCCTGCATGACTTCACTTTCTACCAGAAATAACAAAACCAGAAATACTAATGACTATACAGCCATTAAATGCTGCAGCTTAGGTATAAGCAGTCACTTACCTCGTCAAACTTCTTTCTTTAAAGACTGAATGACTTGGGCATTTTGCAGGTGAGGAGGCGATAAAAGCTGGGTTCCACATGGAGGGGGAGGATCGCACTCACCAGATTCCACCTCTAACCCAGGCACCTCCCGGCTCCGTGGTCCCTGCAGGGTGGGGACCAAGCCGAGGTCTCGGTTGCTAAGGTCGTCCCTCCAGTCCCTTAGCCGTCACTCTCAACACCTGCTGAGAGGTGATGGGCAGGTGGAGTTCAGGTCTCCAAGTACAAAATCACAGTGCTACAGGCCAGAACCTGCAGGGGAGTACCCCTGGGTGGGGCTTCCAGGCTCCACTTGCCCAGATGTTTGCATTTGATTGGCGCTGAGACTGCTAGGTACCAAGTGAGCAGCCTTGAACCTGGCACTTGACCATCTTACCACTTGGGCCTCATTTGCAACATAAGTTTGCCGTTTGCCCAACTGACTTTTTGGGGTCCTTGCAGGGATCAACTGAAGTCATGGAAATCAAAGTGTGGAAAAGAATGTGCCATGAACTTGGAAAGTAGGACCGGTATTGTGAGTGATTTCAGAGTGTTAGAGGATTTCATGTTTTTTTAAATTTTTTTCACTAATTTATACTTTAAGTCATTTTCAGTAATTTCTTAACTTAAAAATAACTCTGGGAATGTTTTAAAAGGGTCATTATGAGTTAATAAAAGGACTCACATGTTTGCATTAATATTAAAGCATAGAAAAAAATTTTAATATAATAGAGGCTGAGATAGAGGGCTTCTGCTTGGATTAACATTCCACATATATTTCTAGACCACAGGGTTTTTGTACGGAATCCAAACACGTACCAGTTCTTTCTCTGCCCGTCACTCGGTGTGACGTCAGGGGAAGGAGCGCTGTGTCCAAGCGGTCGGCCCGGGGCACAGCACTGCCCGCAGCAGTCCCTTGGAAGTCCCTCCTCCCTCCCGTGGTGAGGATCTGGGAGGGCCAAGTCCTCCGGCACCAGGTGTCCGAGTCCTCCAAACATTTCTGAGACCTTGCCAGGCTATAGGTCCCGATATAACTCGTGTTATCACTCAACACTATGTCAGACACTCATTCGAAGTCTGAAAAAATCAGCCCGCTTCATTCTCCACACCCTTGATGCATTTGGCAGTTTTCACTCCCTTCTATGGGATGAGACCTTTCAGACACGTTCAGGGTTGTTTCCAAAGCACCCATGTGGGTGGAGCTGAGATTTGAACCCGGCAACTGGCTCCAGAGCCCACAGTCTCCACCTCTGCCTATATTCCCAGAACCCGCTGCCCCCTCTCTGTCCCACCCGCTCCATGTCCTGTTCCTGTCCCTGTCACTTCTGCCACAACATTTGGAGTTTCTCATTTTCCAGATGCAAGAATGAAGGATAACGAGATACAGAGCAGGGGTGTCAAACTCATTTTCACCGGGGGTCACATCAGCCTTGCAGTTGCCTTCAGAGGGCCAAATGTAATTTCAGGACTGTGTAAATGTAACTACTCTTTAACCAGAGGCAAGGAGCTCGGCACTGCCACTGGGTAGGGACAAGGTACCGGGCCAGATAAAACAAGGTTCCGGGCCGGATAGAACCAGGTGGAGGGCCTGACTCGGCCCGTGGACCGTGTGTTTGTACCTGTGGTGTAGAAGGAAGTTTAAAAGCAAAGACTTCAGAGTCATGTAGACTGTCCTACTTACCAGCCTTGAAAATTGCGTGACACTTTGAATCCCCGATGTAAAATAAAACTGAGTGTAGTCACCTGCTGAAGCATCTCTCTACTCAAAGTGTTTAAGCTCATTTATCACCTGGCACACATTCCAGGTACCCATTAGGTGATACATACTACAGTTATTCAGAAGAGCAGAAAAGGAGACCCCACCCTGCAAAACTGAGCAAGCTTTCCCAGGCCTGCGAGCCCACCCAAGCCCCGCCCACCACCTGTCCAGTGGGTTTGTGGCCGTGCTTCTTGCCTGAGGCCCTTCCTTCCCTAGGTGTCCCCCGTGCACCTGCCCTTCGCCCCTCGTGCGGAAGTGGATTTCAGCCCCTGTGCTGTTTCGTCCACAGGTCTACAGAGTGGACGAGAAGGCGGCCGAGCAAGCTCGGTGGGAGGAGTCCTCCAAAGAGACGATCAAGCAGACCACCAAGCCCTGCCCCCGCTGCCGGGTGCCCGTGGAGAAGAACGGTGAGTCAGCCGCACACGGGAGGCTCTGCCAACTCTTGTCTGAGCGAGAGCGTCGGGCACATGGCCGCGGCGGCCAGGAGCATGAGCAGGGGCTCGTGGTGGGAGGTGGGGAGGTTGGGGGGGGGCCACTCAGGCGCTTCGGCGGCATCGGCTCAGTATGCATCCCAGCGGTGCCCCATCAGGGTTCTTGTCCCCCTGAGCCGCAAGTCCTCCTGTGTCTAATTGCCCTTATTATTACTTGTTATTAACAATGTTAGACAAGTCGTGCCTGATTAGCTGCTCGTTACTCTAACCAAACTAACGACAAACAAAAAAGACCCTAAGGGCACTGCCCAGGCCACCATTTCCCAAGGTGCACCCCCCGCCACCCTGCACCTTGGTGTCTGGAGACACACAGGGGCAAGGGATGTCACCACGTCAAGTAAATGTGGCAGTCGGCTTCTGCTGTGTCTCCCTGCTGGGCAACAACAACAAAGCCACTAACATGCGCTGAGCACTCACTATGTGCCTGTGCCAAGCTCTTCCCAGCTGTGTGTCAGGCCGTGTGACCCGGAATCACTCCGGGAGGCAACACCCCCCCACGGTGCACTCCAGCAGATGAGAGCATTTCAGGATTCCTGTTGTAAGGAAGTCTGTGGAATTTTGTTAACCAGTTAGTTTCCGGGTTTAGTGGTTGGTTGGTTGGTTTTACTCGTGACAGCGCCTCACACCCCTCTGGACCCTGGAGCACACTCCGGCCACGGTCTCACCTTCCCGGCCCGACCGCACCCCGCCTCTCACTCCTTCATGAAAAGGCCCTTTACGCCCATGTGCTTCTGAACAGGGCCTTTCCTTTGCCTTCTACCAGCCATCTCAGCTGTCAGAATGCGAGTGGCAGGTGCAGGTACTGCTGGGTGAATTGACCCCACCTGTAGTCAGAGTCGCCCGGGAGCAGGTTCCCAGTCTTTGGACACTGTGTCCGCCCAGCTGGTTCTCCCCAGTGATGCTCTGACTGGGGAGGGGGCGGCGTGTCACAGGACAGCCGGGTCCCCTCCCATTCACATGCAGTCACATCTCCTCCCCTTCCAATGCAGGGGGAAGCCACTGTGGCCGTGGGAGACTCGGGAGAGCCCCTCCCAGCTCCAACAGGCACGTGACCCTGTCACAGGCCGAAGGTCGTGGAGAGAGAGCCGCTCGGCCCTGTGGCGGTGCGTCCGGCCTGTGGCCGTGGACTTGGCTCCATGTGCACACTCCCTGCTCTGGCTCCCACGCTGTGTGGTCCTGCGGTCTGTTGGCCGACGTGTGTGGCCCTCCCGGCTCCGTGATGCGTTGTGAAGCCCAAGTGTAGTGGGTGCTCAGAGCATCCTGTGGGCGGCCCCCTCTCAGAGGCCTCGTGGCTCGCAGGCCCTGGTGGCCGCCTGACGCTGTCCACCCCGGACTGGCCAGCCGGCCCAGAGCCGGCAGCCCAGCATCCAAAGTCCCTTTGGCATAAACCATGTTTTCTGGCGTGAGGGACAGGCAGCAGCACTGTCATGGATGAGAAGTACTGGGTTGGCCTGAAAGTCCACTTAGTTTTTTCTGTAAAACAGAAGACATATTTTTCATTTTTATCAATAACTTGATTGATTTGGGTATTTTGAGCATGTGGGCTGTCTTCCACGATTGGCTTCCACGATTGAACACCTTCCAGTGCATCGGACAGCCCCACAGCAGAGGGTTGTTTGGCCAGAATGTCAGTTGTACCAAGAAACTTCGCAAACCACTTGTGACGTGTCAGTCAGTCACGGCACCTTCTCTATACACAGCACAGAAAATTTTTTTGCATTTCTGCTACGTTTTTACCTCTCGTGAAATAGTAAAGCATAATATGCTGAAAATGTTGCCTGTTTTCTTCCATCTTCCATATTAAAATGGCTGCACAAAAATTCACCAATTTTGTTTTTGTAAATGCACACTGATATGACAGCTGTCACGATACAATCTAACAAAATTATTTTGAATGAAGTTAAGGACAGCTAAGCACTACCAGAACCATCTTACAGAAAAAACCAACTGACCTTCTCAGCCAACCCAGTGAAACGAAGCAGCAGGGACTGCCTGCCCCCCGGCCCCCGTGGGCACGGACGGCCCCCCGCTTGGAGGCCGCGAAGAGCCGACTGCGCAGGGTGAGGCTGGGCAGCCACATGAGGGCCAATCGGGGCCCTCGCTCAGCCGAGTCGACTAGATCGTCCTCATCACACAAACACAGGAGTGTGACACGTCCCACAGAGGCAGGAACAGGCTGTCCCAAGCTCTGGGTCGATTGCCTCTAGAAAAAATAATGACGGTTACCCTAGGGCCACCACCACTCATTCGCAGGGAGGGCCGCTCCTCAAGTTAAGTGGGGGGCGGGGCAGGCACCCGCAGGACGAGGGGCAGTGGCGAGAACTGGGAGCTCTCCAGTGTCCCTGGCCGGGCAGGGTGGTGTGGGCAGCAGGAAGCCAGGGACCCTGAGGCCCCTCGGTGTCCCCTGTCACAGGCGTTCGAAGAATGCAAATTAGGTACAGGGTGGGCAAAGTAGGTTCACAGTGGTGAGTCCACAGAGCTGTTTATTCTTGCATTATCATTTATTCTATTGTTTTTCCTACAAACAGCTGGAGGCCTGCTCTTGCCCTACCTGTAGTGAGAGACCACTGTGTTGTCACCAAAGGTCTGGCACTTCGTCTGTGCCCTGGGCCCAGAGAGTGTCTGCCACATAAACAGTGGCTGGATGAAAAGGGGCTAGTGAGGCAGGCAGAACACAAACAGGCATTGTGGTGGCACACAGCAGGCAGGGACAGCAGACAGACCCACAGGCGCAGGGCGCCCCGAGGGGGGCAGTTCCGGGGCCAGGGTGGTGGGGCCGAAGGCTGAGTGGTGGGCAGGACGGAGGGCCCAGGCTCGGCTCCGGGGCGCAGGCAGCCATGGCAGGTAAAGAACCCGGTCCGGTCCGCCTCCGCCTCAGACCACACCGGCAGCCCTGGGAGACGGAGAGGAAGGAGAGGATTTCCTCCTCCAGTTATCTCTTTGAAATATGTGATATGCTATTGATTGAAAACCCTAATTTTCCCCTAGAAATTTTTGACCTCTGAACTGAAAAGCTGGAACTTTAGGTTTATTACTGATAGTCTAGGCTGTTGGGAAGTGTGTCTCCAATCGAACAAAAGCAGGCCCTTCTGGCAGGCGAAGCTAGTTTCGCCGTCTAGTCCTCAACCCTGTTTCCTAGTCAGCCGACCCCAGAAAGCAGTTCCTCCTTCAGCAGAGCTGCAGTGACGAGGGCTAACTCTCCACACTTGCTCCTGTAATCCCCTACAAGTTCCGGAAGTTTCTTCCTTCTCTTGGGAAAGGAGAGGGCTCACTGTCCCTGCTCCCCTTCCATTTTTACAGCCGGACTCGTAATAAAATAATAAAACTGACCCGAGCCCAGGTTAACCAGAGGAAAACCAGCCCACCCCCCACACACAGCAAGTTCACGCCGCGGTGCTGGGGTCACAGAACGAGGCCCAGAGAAACGATCCAGCCTCCCATGCGTGTTATACTGTTCGATGCTTTCATCAGGCACTTTCTACACTTTTCGGACAACGTAACGACCCCCGTGTGAGACACTCACAGGGCAGAGATAGTCAGGCTTTTCCGCCAGCAGTGTGGGCAGGTCTGGGCTCCGGCAGCAAACCCAGAAAGGCAACAGGCTTGGGTCGGTCTCAGGGTTTGTTCACTGTTGTGAGAGGCTGTCTCTTAGTTGCTGGGCGCAGGGAAGACACCTGCCACGGAGGTTCGTTTCCTGCGTCTCTGGGGACAGAGGAGGGTCCCAGAGCGCCTGCTGCTTCTCACTCGATTGTAGTTGAAAATTATCTCCATGCCCTTGTGGGGTACCTCGGGGCAGGCTGTCCCGGGCCCTGGCGCACACAGACCAGGTTCTGGTCCCATTCCTCAGTGCGCGTTTGTGGCCGGCTAAACGTGCCTCCAGGTTGTTCGAGAGCTTCTTCTCTCATCAAGTCTAGTGGAGGGGTGCTGGCCGGACCACGGCGCTGGCCCAGCTGCTCGAGGTTTGAGGGTGGGTCCGCAGGCAGAATTCTCTAAGGGGGGAGCCGTGTTTTTTCACTTAAATATCCACAAATGCGGCAAAGTCATCACAGCTTCTTGCTCCACTTACTTAGCAGCTGCCGCCCCGGCTGCTTCTGGTACCGCGACGTCCAGCACGTTGCTTTGTGTCTGTTCCGCACGAGGAGGGAAGGCAGCGAGGCCCACAGATGTGCTTTCTCCACATTTCCTTTCTTCTGATTCTGCACCACCGCCGCCATTCCTGTTTCCATAATGAAGTGATGCTGGCGGTCTCTAGCCGTGAGGGTTTGATAGGAAAGGAAACCCCCTCAGAGCTCCATGTAGCATCACTTCAGGGTTTCACTGAGCTGGAGTCTGTTCCCGAGGACTCTCTGTGATACCGCAGAGGAGCCTGAGTGAGTCCCGGCATCACATCACTTCACTCACTAACTACATGCGTGCCAAGCATTGCGTGTTGACAATGACAGGACCCTGGAATCGTGTGACCCAAAATGGGAAACACTGAGGTACAGGTGACCTAAGTGGGTTTTTTGCTCTATTTTCCACATGTTTGCAGTTTTTAAATGACCCTTCACACAAACCAAAAAAAGGATAGAAGTCTGGAGTTGTAAATGCTCTTACATTATCCTAACAATTATTCTAACACAAATGCCTTTCGTCACATGATCATAAATATTTCAAACGAGTGGAAGTGCTTGTGCCAAGTTTCTCATAATAAAAATGAGGCAGGACCGAAGCAATTACGTGGAAAATTGGGCAAGGAAAAATGCCTTAACAAGGTAATTGGTACCAGTGAAGAATGGGGCTCATCTGATGTCAGGTGGGAGCTGGGCCTCCGCCTGGAGCACCTGGGAAATCAGGGCGAGCCCCTTCCCCATGGGGAGCTCAGGCCAGGCCTCCCGTCTGTCACTGGGCCTCCTGTCTGTCACTGGGCCTCCTGTCCGTCACTCGGCCTCCCGTCCATCACTGGGCCTCCTGTCTGTCACTCGGCCTGCTGTCCGAATCCCAGCAGGGGGAGATGGCTGCGTTTGATACAAGTCCCCGCATAAGGTGCCTCCTCCTGTCCAGGGGGTGCTGCTCTGGGACAGCAGGGACATTGAGGTCCCAAAGATCCCAGTGAAATCTCGGGCTTTGCCCTTGACCTTGAGAAAAGTCTGCACCCAAGTTCCCCTCCTGTCTCACAGGTGCTTTTCAGGAGTGAATGAGATGATCCCTGAGGAGCAGCCGGCACTGTCCTTAGTTTCTTCCTGTTCTCATCTTAAATAACGTTCCGTGTGGCGTTAAGGAGCATAGTCCCTATTAAATTTCTAATACCGCCGTCCCAACTCCTGTTTTACACATCTTGCCAAGCCAAGCACCCCTGAAGGCAAGAGGAAATTCACTCAGAGCGTGCATGTCCGTTGGTGCCTGTTCCATATTAAATGGTTAAGTATTAATATAGATGTACACTATTAATCTGAGCAGACTCTTAAAGAGGCCTGGGTCCTGCCGCCGAAACACGGTGCCCCTGTCTCTGAACCCGCCTTGGGGGAAGTCGGTGAGCTCAGAGGCACACGGGCCTCTGTCCCTGATGGACCTGGCGCTCTGTCCCCAGGGCCGCCACTCGAGTGCTTCATGCTTTCTGATCTGTTCTCCTCAGCCCCGATGCCGCCCCTGGGGCCCACGGGGCAGCGCCCTTGGGGAGCCATGTCCAGGACAGTTGCGGGTGTGGGGACGGGCGCCTGCCAACACCACACCCGTGTCCTCTGTCCGCAGGAGGATGCATGCACATGAAGTGCCCGCAGCCCCAGTGCCAGCTGGACTGGTGCTGGCACTGCGGCTGCGAGTGGAGCCGCACCTGCATGGGCGACCACTGGTTCGACGTGTAGCCACCGCGGGCGCCGCCATCGGGCTGGGAGCACGGCCGCCTGCCTGCGTCGGCGACTCTCCCTTTCTCCACATACGTGCACATGCACACGCAGGCTCATGCAAACAGATGCACACCGCACACATGTACACACCCACACATGCACATGCACACACATATAATATGTGTGCGTGCCCACATACAAGTACACATATATACATTATGCTCACATGTGCAGGAGCATATGAGCACATGTGTGTTCGCATGTGTGCCCACAGGCACCCAATTCTTTCCAAAAGCACAAAAGCAGCACAGGAGTGGCCCGGCCTCCCTTCCACCGTCCCCATGGGAACCAGCAGAACTGGCCGTGAGGCCAGCGAGACGCTGTCTCAGCAGCACGCACACCAGAGCACAGAGGAAGTGCCGCCCCTCTCTCGAGAGACTGTCACCCTTGAGTGAACTCAAGGCAGGCTGCAGAACCACAGAGAGCAGTTTCTCAGGTTTAATTTCCTGCGTTTGACCTTCAGCCCATGCTGGGAAGCAGCCACTGTGGCGGCGGGAAGCCGTTCTGCGGGTCTGTTTCAGTGCTTCCCCGAGATCCGTGGCGGTGGACTCTCAGAATGCTCTTCCCCCCTCTACGGCCGGTGCTCCGCTCTGCATTCTCACAGGCCATCGCTTCCCAAGGAACCACCAGCAACGGTCAGGGCCCTGCGTTTGTCCCTTTGCTACCTTTATCGACGCACTGACGGAATAGCAACCTTGCATAAATCAGCTTGCCAACGAAGTGAGAGGTCACGAGAGTTCATTTGAATGTTGCGTGTTTACATTGCCGGGCAGAAATCAAAACTTAATGTACTTTCATTCGACTTATTTGCCACTTTCGAAATTGTTTTTCTGAAAATATTACCAAATCTGTCATTTGATTACAAGCGTTCATTTTGCAGCGTCGAGAATAAGCTAATTACATGTGACTTCGCTGTAAATCTAGCGGACGAGGCCCCCGGGAAGGAGCGATTTTAGCGGTGGTTTCGTTGTGATTCTCAGGGTTAACCAGAGTAGAGTGCTGGCCGTCAGACAGACTCCTCCGGGAGGGTGCGCTCCAGGACCTTCGAAATGCAGCTGTACGTTCCCGCTCTTTCTGCAAACCCACAGGCCCCCCGCCTGCAGAGCTGGGGGCCCCTCCCAGGGACACCCTCCGCCCCAAGGCAGTGGACCCACACTGGGACATTTCCTTGTGTTAGCATGGGCCGGAGCAGAGTGCTGATCAAGGCTTCTTTCCTTGTTTTCATGTTTTTCTTCCTTTTTTTTTTTTGAGGCGCTCGCAGCACATCAAACAGGCATGTTGATGCGACGTACAGCCAGCCCTACTTTGTGCAGCTCAGGCCGCACACGCACACCTATGACCACTGTCTTCTCGGGTGGGTGGTGACGTCACCGAGTGCACGGTGAGTCCACTTGCACGTGGGGTCCCTTTGCATTCAGGGGCCTGGACATGAGAAAACCAGCAGCAGGTCTCCTTTCCTGGAAGTGGCTCCAGGAATCCTGCTGCAGGAGAGAGAGGGGGCGACCTCAGGGCATGTCCCCGGGACATCTGCCCGTGTCTCCCCAACCTGGGACAGGATGGGGAGGAGCCCCCACCCCCAGGCTGCCAGACTCAGTCAGGAAGCCTGCAGGGTGGGCACAGATAATGGGGAGCTGAGGTTCGGGAGTGGGAGACAGAGGGAGGCCCCACTAGCCAGTGTTCACACTCAGTTTGAACCCACTCTGGGCCTGACGTGCGTTCCCGACAATCCCAGTAGACAGCAGCGGCTCCCTGCCCCAGCGGGGCTTGGGGCTTCACAGCCTCCAGGGCCCTGGGTTCCGCGGTGCTGCTGCTGCTGCCGCTGCCGCTGCCGCTGCCGCCTCGGTGCAGACAGGCAGGGTGGGGCAGGCGTGCCTCGGCCACACTCAGGCGTGGTCAGCATCCCCAGGCCTCTGCTCCTTTCCTGGTGGCTCTTTCTTTTGTTTGGTTTTTTTTTGTTTTTTTTGTTTTAGAATAGAAAACTGATTCTTAAAACATGTTAAAGGGAAGACAGCCACTATAAGTGAATGTAAGTCACAAACTACTGTAAATGAACTTGTCTGAGTGTGAATGGCATCTCAAACTGTGAGCATAGCCAAAGAATAAAAATAAACGATTTGCTGAAGAATCTCTATTTTTCTCTGAAACGCATAAAGCAATACTTGACAGTTAGGCTTAAGGCTGTATTTGAATTGTCAATAAAAGCATCAGAAAAGCTTTTGACTCTGTCTTGGAAGATGTCTTTTTCCTAAACTCTGGTGGTGTGGGAGGGAAGTCCGAAAGCCCCCTGAGGCCCCAAGAGAGGGCCCCGGTGGGGTGACCACCACTTTCATCTCGACTCTGAGCTCCAGAAAGACCATGGATGTTTTTCTTTTTAAAATAATGTAGTTTCTGTCCTGGCTGGTGTGGCTCAGTGGATTGAGCATCAACCTGCAGACCAAAAGGTTGCCAGTTCGATTCCCAGTCAGGGCACATGCCTGGGTTGCGGGCCAGGTCCCCAGTAGGAGGCGTGCAAGAGGCAACCACACAGTGACGTTTCCAGCTCTCTCTCCCTTCCTCCCCCTCTCTCTAAAAATAAATAAGTATTTAAAAACAAATAATGTAGTTTCTTGAGTGCTCTCAACATTTGAAAGTGCTCTGGTGAGCAAACCGTCCTTTAAAAATCGAAATTACTTCCCTGTCTTATCAGCCAACTTTTCTAGCAAGTGTTTCAACAGAAGGTGGAGTTGGGAAGCCCCTGAGGCGTTGCTGGAGCACCACTTCAGACGAGGTCAGTGACTCCGAGTCGCCCCCCGCGTGGGCGTGTGGGGCTGCCTTCCCTTCAGTGGCTGCGCTCTGCTCCTCCTACAGCACCTGTGCAGAGTGACCTGGGACGCACACTCTGGAAGGGCAGACAGCACCCTCACCCCCCGCAGGAAATGCTCTTAGGAAATGCAGAGTTTCCAGGACCCGCAGGTCCGGCATTGACAGAGCAGAGCGGCAGCAGGAGTGGGTGCCCTGCCTCGGGGACAGTATACCTCCAGCTCCTGGGGACGCCCTGAGGACTGAATGAATCGACTCACAAGAAGCACTGAGGTGCCTCATAGGTAGGAAGAGCTCAGTAAGAGTCACCCTTGTTAACATGTGAACAAGTCAGCAAGACCACCAAACAAACTCACAAAACCCACAAAACTAATGCAAACCCATTGTGAACGCCAGGGTTGAGTGTTTGAGTGCACGTTCGGACAGTTAGCGGGCTCGTGGTGGAGGCAGGGAACTGGCCGTGGTGGGAGCAGGTGGGCTGGGTCCAGCAGTTTCCCCCTTTCGGCCAGGTGCCTTCTGCGTTTGAAAGGCTTAAAGGGACAAGCCCCAGCTGTGGCGCAGACGAGCTCCAGGGTGTGAACTGAATGCCGATGTTGTGAATGGGAATGAACAGCACAGATGTGGGGTGTCTATTCACAAAGCCACAGCGACGTGGGGAAAACCAGCCTCGTGTGGGTGGGGACATGTCCCACCCCCATGGGTCCCCCTGCATGGCCTCGTCCGATACCAGGGAGAGAACTGACGTCAGTGTTTAAAAGAAAGCCCCAATTTAAAACAGCCTCCCACCCATCTTCAGGTGCCCATTGTGGATAAACTGCCCAACTGCAGATGTTTAGATCTTTTTGTGCAGTTCCAGTAATTATGAAAAAAAGTGTTGCACAAGGAAAACCGTTCTGCAACGTGAGCAGATATTTACAATATAAGTGCAAGGTTTGACAAAACTGTATGTGTAGTGGAATTGCAATTATTGTAAAAATTAATCTAAGAAAAATTTATTGAAGAGCATGCACAAAAGTGCAGTTTGCCATGGTGGTAAAATTATATATATGAATTATTTACTTGTCTCTACTTTCCATGTTTTCTGGCAGTGTGGAAAATCACTTAATAAAGAAAAAACTTTTTCTTAAAAATTTCCCATGACAGTTAAAGATGCTCATATCGCCTGTAGCCAAAGCAGTGGAGATTTTCTAATCAATAAGAAAATAAGAATATTCTAATCAATAAGAAATATTGATTATAAATCAAGATCAATATTTTGATCTTGAACTTTTACTGAAATGACAACAAAACAAAGTGAAGCCTCCCTGTTGCTTCTTTCGAAGGAATTTTGCCAAATGAACTTGGAAGGGGGAGGGGGGACGAGCTGGACAGATTCCGGGCCCATATGGTTCTGCTTCCAGGCCCGGCAGAACCGCCGGCCTTCCTGAGTTTCGCCTGCGCACCCACTCGGCCACGGTGGGCGACCCACCTCCCTGCTCCCCCAGGACCGAGGCGCTTCCTGGCCCTGGAAAGACCTAAGGAAATAGAAGATTAACACACCAATGTGAGTAGCCACTCTGTCTTACCAGTAGGAAAGCTGAGGTTCGTATATCCCTGATTTCTCCTTCAAAAGCCTCTTTCCCAGCGTCCACCTGACCTCCTTCAGGAAGCTGTGACAATCCAGCCACCGTGAATGGGGTGCATGACAAAGAGACGAGCAGAGATCTACTCTGTGCGACGCAAAGGGCGGCGACTCATTCTGTTCATAAGCGATGGGAGATACACTTCTCTCTTTGGCGAAGTAAATTGGGTAAATTAAATAAAGTCACTTTAAGTTTACTTTAAAAAAAGGTTTGATAACTGAGACAGCCTTGGGCAAGCAGGGCCGAGCTCCCCCTGGCAGAGGACCCTGCCAAGCATCCAGGTGGCAGGTGCAGCGGACGTCTGGCTGGTGGCTGCTCCGGGGCGCACCGGCTCTTCCTTTTGCAGCCCAGCCCCCCTTCCTGACATCTTCCCTCATCCTCCTTAAGCCAAACTAAGCAAGAGGCCGACGCCTTTGATACTGATGCCTCCAAAGAAGCTTATCGCACTAAGAAGAGCAGAGGACGCCCCATCCTCCCTCGGATTGTCACGTGGGGTCTGAGAACCCCACCTTCTGAGCTAGCTCTCTGCGTCCACCCCACCTGGCCAGGCACTGAGCGCGGGTTCCCATCAGTTGCACCCGGGGAAGAATGGAGGCGCAGCAAACAAGCAGCCCCCAGGGGCTGTGTGTGTGTGGCTCATGGGGGAAAATGTTAGGAGGTTGGGGGAGGGAGGGGGTAAGACACGTGCACCCCCTCTGCATTTTCAGAGCCTGACACTGAAAACCACGCCCCATGTGGTTAAAAGAGTGTGGTCTCAACCTCTCCACGGTGACTGGCGGTTTCTGGGCATTAGAGGCAAATGCTGCGTCTTCGGAGGAAATACTTGTGTCAGTTGAGCAATTCATTCAATTTCACTAAATTTTCTGTGATTAACTTCACAGGAGATGAAAGTTATTGGTGATATTTCACGAGAAAATAGAGCGTGTCTAGTGTGACTCCCTTTCGTGCCATGAGCCATGTTCGTTTGTGTTTAACCTGCCGTCCATCCATCCGTCCGTCCGTCCGTCCACCCGCCTCTGGTCCAGCAGACTGATTGATGAATGAACGACATTCCCCGAAAGCAAAGCTGGCTCTTGCAGGGGACATTTGGGGTAGGCTTTCTTCTCTTCTCTGTGCTTCTCTTTAGTAGTTGAATTTTTTATTATAAGAAGGAATCATTTGCATAGAAAAGTCATTACTTAGAAGGCCGACAGAAATCTATGGACCAGAGACAGCTTCGCCTGTGAGTGTGCACTGGGGTTCTCCGTGGGGTCAGGGAGAGAGTGGCCACACTCCAGTGCCCATGTGGACAGAGCCGGGAGGTAGAAAAATGGCCCAGGTTAAAGGTGCTCTGTTAAAACGAACGGCCACCTGTTGGCTTGAGCACGCTCAGGTGTGTCCAATGCGTGAGTGCCCATCACCAGGGCTCACACACTGGGACAGAGGGTGGAGGGTGGCCTGGGAAACCAGGCCGCCACACCTGAGGGCTCGCTGGTTCCCTCCTTGACTGGACAACTTGATGCAGACTTTCAGGCCACCAAACGTCCTCCAAATGCTGGACCCCTTTCCTGGCTGTTTTGCTACATGTCCTCATTGATATTCCCTGTTGTATTTATGAGTGCGCATGAGCTGAGGTGCTTGCCTATGGTCCAGAAAACTTAGATGTGGGCATTCTAAATTTTTTTACACTGTAAAACCCATGTCCACAGGATATTAAGAGAACTGCCCACTATAACCAAGCAAGTTTTAATCCCATCGACTTAATGATATACATACCCACTCCTCTGGTTGAGCCTCAGGCCTCAGGCAAAGCTGACTGACCCCACCCCAGAGAGAGAAAAACATAATCCACACGAACTCCTGTACGTGAAAGTTCAAAGCACCTTTATGTGTAACAGCCACAAGGCAGAAGCACTCCAAATGCCGGTCCACTGATGCACAGATAGACAGGATGTTGTTATGTCCGCAGATGGACGATTATTTGTTCATCAAAAGAACTGCAGTCCGATGTGGCTGAGCCTGGAAAACATTCTGAGTGGAAGAAGCCAGGCACAAAGGGCCCCACGCTGTCTGATTCTGTCCGAATAGACCATCCAGAACAGGCCAGTCCACAGCCAGCAGTGCTGGTCTGGGCTGGCCCACGTGGTGATAGGAAGCCAGCGCTAATGGAAATGTTCCAAAGTCGATTCTGGAAACAGAGACAGAGCTGTGAATATACTAAAGACACTGAATTATGCCCTTTTAGGGGTGAATGGCATGATATGTGAGTTACATCTCAATAAAGCTGTGACTGACAGGACAGAGGGAAGACGGAAGTGCACAGAGCACATATGACCGTGACCTTTCGGGGGACGACGTGGTAGAAGGAGAGGTAACGGGGAGGTGAGGCATGAGGGCTGAGGCTGGGCAGGCACCCGCAGACGGGAGCGTGGAGGGTGCAGAGCTGTGGCTGGCTGCCCCGCATCGGCGCAAGTTCACAGACAGAGGCCGACGGCCAAAGCCTTTCCCCAACAGTGGGGGGAAAAAACCCTTCATTTAGGACTTTGTGGTCAATGAAACAAGGTGTCAAGAAATATTTCTAATGCGTTCACAAGAATTTGAGTTAATAAACTATTTCAGACTTCCGCCAAGATGGAGGCATAGGTGGTGACGCTGTGCTTCCTCACACAACCAAGTTTAGAGACAATTAAATATTAGCAACAGAAAACACAGTCAGAACACAGAAAATTGAACTTTTCAGAAGTCTGATAACAACAAATTCTTCAGCATGACTGGTAAGAGGGGCGAAACCAGCAGCTGGAGGAGCAGGGTTGCATCGGA